ATCCATGGTCCCAAAATACTTATTAATGTTCTCCATCTTCCCCATCCACGCTGTTCCTGCCACAGTGCCGTTCTGCCTTCGCCTCTGATCCTGTCTCCTCCTTTCCTTGTGGTCTCTGGACCCCAGTCTGTGAACTCCAAACTCCACCTCCCTTTCTTCTGCCAAATCCTGCGTTGGCTTATTTCCTGCTGTCTATTCCTCTTGTGCTTTTTTGCTTCCTTTTGTTCTAGAGGTGTGCTGTTAAGTTGCTAGTATGAGATCTCTCTATTTTCTATATGAAGGTACTCGGTGCTATGAACTTTCCTCTTACTACCAGTTTCTTTGTGTTCCATAAGTTTGGGTATGTTGTGATTTCATTTTCATAAAATTCTCAGTGTCTTTCTTTCTTTATTTCTGCCTTGACCCTTAGATCGTTCAGTAGAGAATTGTTCAGTGGCCATGGGTTTGTAGGCTTTCTGTTGTTTCTGTTGTTGAAATCCAGCTTTAATCCATGGTGGTCTGGTAAGACACAGGCGGTTATTTCAGTTTTCCTGTATTGGTTGAGAATTGCTTTGTGACCAAGTATGTAGTCAGCTTTTGAGGTGTTCCATGGGGTGCTTTTGTGTTTGGGGGAAATGTTCTATAGATATGTTAGGTCCATTGATTTCATAATGTTTGTTAGCTCCATTTAATTTTTGTCTAAATGACCTGTCCAGTGGTGAGAGTGGGGTATTGAAGTCTCTCACACAGTGTTTTGTTCGATGGTGTGATTGAAGCTGTAGTAATGTTTCTTTCACAAATATAGTTGCCTTTGTGTCTGGGACGTAGATGCTAAGAATTGAAATGTCATTTTGGTGGATTTTTCTTTGATGAGTATGGTAATGTTCTTCTCCAAGTCTTTTGATTGTTTTTCTCTTGAAGTTTATTTTGTTAGATTTAGAATTGCTACAGCAGTCTGTTTCTTGGGTCCGTTTGGTTAGAAAATCTTTTTTTCCAATCCTTTATTCTGAGGTAATGTTTGTCTTTGATATATGGTAGAAAGCAGAAGGATGGCTCTTGTGTTTGTTCCCATTCTGTTAGCATGTGTCTTTTTATTGAGGAATTAACCTCTGTTGACACTGAGAGATATTTATTACCAGTGATTGTCAAGTCTTGTTATTTTATAGTTGTTGGTAGAGGTGGTGGCGTGTGTGTGTGTGTGTGTGTGTGTGTGTGTGTGTGTTTTGTTTGTTTGTTTGGTTCTATGTGAATTTTCAGGTCTTAAACAGTTTCCTTCACCTCTTTGCTTCCCCCACCCTCACCCCCTCCTTGGCTTTCTGGCCATTTTTTAAGGAATTTATTGGTTTCTTCCCAATTTTTTGTTTGTCAGTTCTTCGATTTCTTTAAGAGATTTTTTTTCTATTTTTTTTCTTTAAGAACCTCTATCATCTTCATAAAGTTGACTTTAAGGTCATTTTCTTCTGTGTTTCAGCTACATTGAAATATTCCAGTCTTGCTGTCATAGGATAGCTGCTCTGGTGGTGTCAAATTTGCCTGGTTGTTTTTGATTGTATACTTATACTAGAGTTTAGTATATGGGCTTAAGATGATTATAGGTAATAATTCCCTATACTTGATTCATTTTGTCCGCTAAAATATTCTTCAGGCTGATAGACATTGTTGCAATTAGAACTTCTTTTTCTGAAAGACATACAATACACACGCAGAGTCAACTGGTTGTGAACACACACAGGTTAATTAAATAATTTATATACTAAGAATAACACTGAGAATTGTACAAACATCCCATGGGCATGGCATCTTCAGTCTTCAAGATATACACTCAAAAGCTGAGTTGCTAGGTGATACAGTAACAGCGTCCTTTTTGGTTCCTCTGTCTCAGTATGATACTTCTTCCACACTGATTTCATTATAATAAAACTTCCAGTGATTAACTGAGAAGAACCTTTGGTGCTATGAGCTAAATGAACAGGCTTTTCTTGCTTAGCATCAGGAATTTTCTTTGAATTTGAGAATTTCTCTGAATTTGGAGAAGGACTTTGCATGTCATATATCCATTAGGGGATTAATAGCCAAAATGTGAAACCTGAAACAAGGTAGCATGAAAACAGCACACTTGAAAATGGGCGTGTTTGCATGTGTGTGCATGTGTGGCGGGCAGTGGGGTGGCGGTTAAATGCAGGGCCTAGCTGAGGTAGGACTCTGCCATCTTCCACTGCCCATTAGAGATGTGGGTATTTTCATTCTTCTTTTTCTTTATTCTTTTTTGAAATGAGTACCGCACAGGCTTCTCAGCCCCCTCAGTAGATGGATTAGAGGTGCGCATCACCATGCCCAACTTTAGTAGGTATTTTTTTTTAAAGAAATGATATATAATATAGAAGATACTGTTATCACAGAAATGTCAATTTTCATCCAAATAAGATATCACCTTCATTTGCAGAAACTGCTACTTTGAGTGTAGATCCTTAAGACTCACAATAATGTTTCCTTGGGATGTATGTATTGTTCTTGTGGTAGTATTCTTAGTAGCCAAGTTATATAATAGACCATCACCAGCACTTCCTATATGTTTATGTGTGTGCGTGTGTATGTGCATTTTATATGAATTGTATTTGATATTTATTTAATTTTAAGAGAACGGCTTTCTGTTTGTTACAACATCTGTTAGCCTGGAGGATATCTTACTGAACAAAATGAACCAAGCAGGTAACTGTTGCATGAGGTTTTCAGGGACACACACTCCAGTTCTGTCCAGTTTGATGTGAATGACAGGAATTTGGGATCAGAGCTTTCATTGTATATCTCTACATACATTCTTTATCTATTCATCTCTTATCATACATATAGGCAAATGCCATATCTGCATTTCCCTATCCATATATTCGAGTTTTCACTTTTGTATAAAATTTAACTCAATTAAACTAGAAGCAGAGAGCAGAAATATGGTCAGTGAGACCAGAGTTTTAATAAAACAACAGGGGCAGTAGCCAAATTTTTTAAATTTATGGGTATGATCATATCTTTCAGTATTGTTATCACTTTGTTTTACACACACATACACACTGAAATATGTTTAAATATGTGTTTGTGTATTATTTTATAGTGTAGTCATTAACGTTACTTGTTTAAATTAGTGAGATACAGTAGACATTCCATAATGTGTACTTTTTGCCTTGATCATGTTTACCTTCCGATGATTTTACTAAACCCTCTTATTCTCCTTGCTCTTTTCTGATAGACCATCTTCTACTTTATAATATTTTTGTTAAAACATTTTAGAAAATACTTTCACATGTAAGAGAAATGTGCCATATTTTTATTTGTGTTTATTTTATTTTGCCTAATACAACACCCTTTATTTCTGTCAGTTTTTCTAATGAATGACAGGATTCCATGTATTCTTTCTGACAGAATAATACTCTAATATATAGGTGAATGCATATTTTTTTTTTTTTTTTTTTTTTTTTTTTTTTTTTTTTTTTTTTCGAGACAGGATTTTTCTGTGTAGCCCTAGCTGTCCTGGAACTCACTCTGTAGACCAAGTTGAATGCTAGAATTAATGGTGTGTGCCACCATTTCTCAGCATCTCATTTTCTTTTTTCCTTTGTTGACATATGTGAAGACTGATTCCAAATCTAGGCTATTGTGAGCCTTATTGTCATAATAATGGTTCTGTAGTTACATCTTCTTTATTGTGATGTCATTGCATACATATACAAACATGGGAGTATAATGTCTAAATATTATGTTTTTTTTAATTTTTTATTTTGTGCTGTTTCTGCAATAGAAAGTCCTAGGAAAAACTGTTTATCATTTAATAACAAAAGGCATTCTATTTCCGGTCTATCTTATTTTTTTAAATTATGTGTGTGAGTTTATGTGTATGAATACAGGTGCGTGCAGAGCCCAGAAAAAAAGTGTTGGATCTTCGTGAGCTAGAGCTACAGGTGGTTGTTAGTTGTCCAGTGTTGGTGTTGGGAAATGAACTCAGCTCCTCTACAAGAGTAATACATGTTTTTAACGACTGAGCCATCTCTCCAGTTCCCACATTTAGCAGTTTACAAATGTATGTACTTGTTATTTGCCTGATTGCTTTTTCATAGAATTCTAGAATTGTTTTGTAATATTTACGAGGATCTACAAGTGAATGATTTCTGTGCTTGCTATGGAGTATTATGACTTGCACTACTTGTTAATGTTAAAAATGTCTTTCATGAGTGGGTCTAGGTAAGTTTTTAGAGGTTATTGCATTGTTTTTTTTTCTGAGTTTTTTATCTCATATTGCTATTGTTCTGTATTTCAAAATTGCCACTTACTTAAGTCATTGTATAAATTAACTATTATTAAGTTCTATTATATATTTTATGGTATTTTAATATGTGTTTATACAGAATATGTGGCTAATATCTTTTTTTTCCCTTCATTTTTGGTACAGCCAAATTTTTTTTGGCAATTAATATACACTTTTAGGATATGATGGAAAAATGTTCTTTTCTTGGTTTATGTAACTTTATCCATTATGAATAAATCTCTTGATTTAAATTGCATGTAATTTCATGCTCTTAATTACAGAATCACTCATTTTATGATAATTAAAAAATGCCTTTTATGGTTCTAAAAGTCGCTAAGTCAACTTAGTAAACGTTTTACTGTAAATTTTTTCAGTGTGGAATATCTGTCTGTACTTTATCAGAAACCTGTTATATTTTCTAGTCAACGCTCCTGAACATATAATAAAAGACTTACTACCAAAAGGGAGTGGAGATTCAGGAGAGGTTGTCCAGGCAGTGATTTCAGAAGGATACAAAAGCACTGGTGCTGAGGATTTTTTCTTCAGAGAAATCCAGAAGGACATTCAGGATTTTGAGTTTCAGTGGAAAGACAGTGAAAGGACTTCTAAACCCACCTGTAGAAGAGATCAAGGTAGTAGAAAAGAGACAGGAACAAACCTTAGGAAACCTGGGCTTCTGTTAAGCTCACTTCCCATCTACCCGAGCTGCAGCCATTTCCATCTGTAGAGAATATTGGTGGTGATGAAGCTGAGTCTATCAGCAATGGCTCTTCAGTTTTATCATCTCACAGAAATTCTCCTAGTGATGACAAAGCACAGCTTGTTCATAAATATAAAGATGATGTTTATTCTTCACTACTTATGAAAAAACAAAAATCACACATTAGGGAAAAACCTTATCGGTGCAATGAGTGTGGCAAGCTCTTCAGTTATACTTCTCTAGCACGTCATCAGCAAATTCATATTGGAGAAAAACTTCACACATGTGTTGAATGGGGTAAGGCTTTTTCTTGGTGTTCTTATCTTTTGGTACACGAGAGGAATCATACGGGAACAAAACCTTACAAATGTAATGAATGTGTCAAGGTCTTTACTCAGAATTCACACCTTACAAGTCATCGGAGAATACATACTGGAGAGAAACCATACAACTGTAATGATTGTGGCAAAGCCTTTAGTGTTCGTTCAAACGTAACTAATCATCAAGTAGTCCATACTGGAGAAAAACCCTACAAATGTTCAGAGTGTGGCAAGGTCTTCACTCAGAATTCACACCTGGCGAATCATCGGAGAATACATACTGGAGAGAAACCATACAAGTATAAGGAGTGTGGAAAAGCCTTTAGTGTGTATTCCAGCCTCATTACCCATCAGGTAATTCATACTGGAGAAAAACCTTACAGTAAGTGTGATGAGTGTGGCAAAGTCTTCACTCAAAATTCACATCTTGCAAGTCATCGTGGAGTCCACAGTGGGGAGAAGCCTAACAAGTGTGAAGAATGTGGCAGGGTCTTCAGTCAGACTTCAAATCTTTCAAGACATTGGAGAGTTCGTACTGGAGAGAAGCCTTACAGGTGCAGTGAATGTGGCAAAGCCTTTAGTGTGCGTTCAAGCCTAACTTCCCATCAGGTAGTCCATACTGGAGAAAAAAAATCTTACAAATGTAACGAATGTGGCAAGGTCTTCAGCCAAACCTCAAGCCTTGCAATTCATCAGAGAATTCACACTGGAGAGAAACCTTACAGGTGCAATGAGTGTGGGAAAGCCTTTAATTCCCATTCAAACCTAAATACCCATCAGATAATCCATACTGGAGAAAAACCCTACAAATGTCTGGAATGTGGCAAATTCACACCTTGCAAATCATCACAGAACCCATACAGGAGAGAAACCTTACAAGTGTGATGAATGTGGCAAAGCCTTCAGTGTGTACTCAAGTCTGACTACCCATCAGGCAATCCATACTGAAGAAAAACCTTACAAGTATGACGACCGTGGTAAGGTCTTCACTCTGAATTCACACTTAGCAAGTCACTGGAGAACTCACACTGGAGAAAAACCTTACAAGCATAATAAGTGTGGTAAAGCCTTTAGTGTACGTCCAAGCTTGAGTACCCATCAGGCAGTCCATACTGGAGAAAAACCTTACACATGTAGTTAGTGTGGCAAGCTTTTTAGTTGAAGTTCCAACCTTGCAAGTCATTGGAGACTTCATATTGGACAGAAACATAAGTGAATCTAGCAAGGTCTTCGGCACAGCTCACTTCTTGCACAATATTCAGGAATTCAGTCCTAAGAAAATATTAATATTGCAATTATGATAGACAAACACTTATCATGAATTCAAGTACATCACTGGGTGTGGTGGTATGCACGTACAATGACATGCCTGTGGGAGCATGGCCTGCCCAGGATATATAGGAAGAACTTGCCTTAAAATAAGAAGTAAATTAAGTTCTTATAGATATATATGAAGGAGATATTTCATACATGTAGAGAAGATGCTTTGTCCCATGACTCCCACCTCTACAAATATGAAAATACACATCATTGATGAAATTGTCCAGGTGTCACTTACTGAAATGTTACTTATTGACCTTTGCTGTGGAGGGGTAATGGGAGGAATAACCTAGTCTCATTTTTTCATGGCTAATCTTCATTGTTACATTCTACAGAATAATTGCTAATTTCAGGAATATTAGAAGTTGTATATACACTTAAAGGTATATTTAGTTTCAAATTTTCAAAAGAATTTTTTATTTTCAATTGAAAGATAATGCTTTTTCTATTACCAAAAAGGAAGTCTGTGGAAGAAGCGGTGGGGGCGGGGGCCGGATGGGGGGGGGAATAGAAGGACATGGAGGGTATAGGAGCTCCACAAGGAGACGTAAGAAAGCCAAAAAGTCTGAGCTCGGGGCCCAGCAGAGATTGATGCATCAATCAAGGACCATGCATGGAGAGGACCTAAAGACCCTGATCAAATGTAGCCCATAGGCAGCTCAATTTCTATGTGGGTGCCCTAGTGAGGGGAACAGGTGTTATCTCTAACATTAACTCAGTTATCTGTCCTTTGATCACTTCCTCCTGGTGGTTTGATCTTGCTAGCCCACAGAGGAAGAAGATCCATGAAGTCCTGATGAGACTTGATAGCCTAGGGTCAGATAGTAGAGGAAGAAGACTGCCCCTTTTAGTGGACTAGGAGAGGGGTATAAGGAGCAAGTATGGAGTGAGGGTAGGGCTAGGAGGAGATGAGGGGGGCTACAGTCATGAATAAATTGTAAAGTGAATAAATTCTATAAAAAATATTTAAAAATTGTTCTACATAAGATATAAGCCAAAAAAGGAAACCGCCAGATTTAGGAATGGGGTAGGGTTTTTTTTTTTTTTAATCTTTCCAGGAGTATAAAAATATACAATTAAGGAATTAGATACCACTGGAGAAGTGAGACTTCTGAAGAAAAAGGATGGATCATCAAGAGAAAATATCGTAAGGAAAAGAGTAAATTGGCCGAGTGATACCGCCCACCTCCAGCTCGTCTCTGTTGTCCTCTGCAAACATAAGTGGCAAACAGTCTTTATGTGGTCCAAATTCAACTAAAAATTTAAGCTGGCTTTGGGGTTGGAACATGACTCTCTCCTTTTCTAAAGTGATGCGTGCTTGTTAAAGGGAAATCCAAAATTTGTTTCTTATCAGAAGAGCCACCTGATATGGAACAGAGGAAAACAAACAAACAAGTGACTGTTTGATTGCCACTGAGCTCATAATCTTTTGGTTTTCATTGACTCTATAACTTTTAAAAGGTATGAATATTATCTCAAAGTCTATAAGATTACATACAAGTTTTCTGTCATGATTTTAGTAGTCATACAGAGTACTCTAGAAATAAGCTTCATCTAGCTTTCTGTATGTGTTTTCAGGTTTGAGTCTGAAGCAGGTAACTAGGAACAAAGTTTGTATACCTCAGATCATGGTCCTCAAACCTTTCCGAGATCTGCTGAATACGGCATTTAAAATGTTTAGGTTTTCTACCATTCATAACAATGACCTTTTAGGTTGCCAAGAAAATATTAGGGCCCTGCAGTCCGCCTGTATTTGTATCACTGACAACTGGGAAATCTTGTTCCATGCTTCTTCTGGTTTCATGCAAATGATAGATACTTTTGGGTTGACTGTTATTTTCTACCAAGTCAGGATTGCCACAAAAACTACCCGAAGGTCAGCTTTGGAATACAGACTGCTCAGAACATTAAATTTTCTGAGTTCATGTGAGACTAACAGGAAAATTTTCAGAACTTTGAACCCCAAAATACTTAATCCTAAGACTGCCAAATACAGCCAAGTTGGATGTTTTGGTAAGCTTGGCAAAAATAGCTTAATTACTGTAAATAATTTTACTGTGTTAGCGTTAAAATCTTATCTTTTTATTTAAACAAAAGGGGTTATAGAAATAATAGGAAAAAGATTATTGAATCTACTCTTATAGATCTTTGTATGTTGATACAAAATTAAGGTTATAATTGGATACATTGGAATAGATCTTTTGTATATTGATACAAAATAAGGTATATTTTGTTTACAACATACTATGTATCAATTCTTTTCAAGGTATTGTATCTATATAATTCCTAAAAATATAATATGAAGTTCTAGTCCTTGGAAGCTACTATTACAAACTGTTTAGAATAATTAAAAATGAAAATTAATAGTCAATCAAACTTGTGATTTTTTTTAGGTCCTAGTTTAGCTAATCATAGCTATTTTCTATGTAAAGCATATAGTATAGAGCTGCAAACAATCAGTTCAGATATACTGAGATAGATTCAAAAACCTTAAAAATCTAGAGTATGGCATTTAAATTTTTAAAATAATTTAAGATTTTCTTTTTGGACAATGAGGCATGTGAACTCCTGGCAACAACCCCATTCTTCTTCAAAGAAGATAATGGGCACTGGAGAACCTCTATATGGGGTTTGCTGCATATGTAGCAAGCTACCCACTATGCAAGAAAATGTCCTTGCTTCAGCTGCAGACAGAATACTGTCCGTACTGGACAAACTGGATGCAAACTGCTGACAAACTGCTGAGCTTTTCAAAGACAAGGTAGGCAAGTCCTTCATAATACATGCTTCACAGAAAAGTCTGTCAGATCCTCTGAGCCAGAAGGCTGAAGATGATGCTCCAATGTTATAAGAAAAATCATGGGTGACTGTCCAGGCAGCAAGCTGTGTCTGTCTTTTCTATAGTTTGGAAGCTGCTTGCTATGCACTTCCTGTTTATTCAGATAATGTTTATCCTTCTCAGGTCTTTGATTGGGTTGAAGACTAAATATTTATAGTCTTACAATTAAGCTTAATACATTTAGGATTTAATAAGCTGTTTTAGGTCTAAAAAGATATTTTTTGATTGCAAGTCGTGATAGAAATTTACTTAGGTACAGAACTTTGAACACAACAAGATAGGATAGATGGTAGAGTCCTTTCTTCAAGGTTGCTAAATACATAAGGAATATTTAGCAATATATAGTTTATTGATGTACTATATACTGGTAGTATATAGTTTATTGATATAAAAGAGAAAAAGTCTTATTTAGGCAAAAAGGGGGAAATGTTTGACCCCATTATGAACCCTGAGACTGTGAACTGTAAAAACCTGTTTCTGGTTGTGGAGTGGCTCAGCCCTAGCACACACCTTTAATCCAGGAACTTTCTGTTTATTGTAAACAGTGGATGCGATATGCCCCAACACACACCTTTAATCAAGAGCTTTCTGTATACAAGAGCTAAATAAGTAACCCTGGGTCAAGAGGCAGAGCAAGAAACCAGCTGACAGGGATTAGGTGAAAGGAGGGACCTTGAGAAAAGGGGTTTTAAGACATCTAGGAGAAGAACAAGGAACTTTTGGCTTTTAGCATTTGGCTTTTTCCATCTGGGTCGTGAGTTGAGTAAGAAAGGATTTTTCCTCTGGGTCATGAGCTGGATGCTTTCTCTTCCTTTATGAGTGAGTAGGCTTTCACTCCAGGATCTGGTGCCTGAGTCTTTATTGGTAAACTTGAACAATTGGGATTTTCTTTCTTTATAACAAGACTGTCATCCCATTCCCTCAGGTTGAGGTGCGTAGGTTTTGGTGCGTAGGTTTTCTTGAGTAATGAATGCTTATCATTATAAAGGGGTTGAGAAGAAAATGGGGGGTATAGGAATATCATATAAGATGAAAGGGTAGATTATTGAATCTACTCCTCAACTTAGCACTATTGTCATTCTCAAATAAGGTTAATTTTGATACATTGGCATATAATTCTGTATATTGATAGAGAAATAAGGTTATTTTTGATACACAGGTATAGATTATTGTATATTGAAACAAATTTAAGGTTAACTTTGATGTGCATATATGTATATATCTATACATATGTACAAACACATATACATATGTACAAACATATATCCACATACATATGAATACATATGTATATCTACATACATATGTATGTATGTATGTATGTAGATGTATGTACATCTACATACATACATACATAGTGTGTGTTATTCTACTCTGGTAGTTCCAGAATCTGAAGACCTATATGGTTACAGTGACATGTTGAAATCCAATTATTAAACATCACTCAGTAGCCTGTTGGCCCTATTGCAAAAAGCAAGTGATGTCACAGAAGAGTGTGTCCACAAGGCTGGCAAGTGATGTCACAGAGGAGTGCCTCCACAAGCCTGGCAAGTTTTGATAATCCACAGGTAGGGTTGCTAAGTTTTTCTTACTTGGTTGTTACACAGATACGTTAGCAGTAAGGCAGTTGGTGATCCTGGTGGCTACCCAGATCAATTTGTGTGCGTTACAAGGAGTCTTCTAGACTTCACAGGCAGGAGCGGGTGGTGAGGCCTGAAGCCTGGAGATGTGTGAGAAGACACTCTATGGGTAGCACTCCACCTACCAGATGGAGCTGACTGACAAGTCTTTGCTTAGTCACTTCCAAACCATCTGCTATAAAAATAAAGTCTTGCTTTGTGGAATGACAGGCAAAGAAAAATGCAATGGAAGTCTTCGGGCTCATGAAATGTTTTAAGATATTCCCAGGAGCCTGTTACTGAGAAGAATGACCTCATCGGTGCACAACCTGAGACCCTAGCCACTTCGGAGGCTAAGGCACGTGAATTGTGACCAGACTGAAATCTGGAAGCAGCTTTTTAATAAAAGAGGCTCAAACCAGATAAATAGAGCTTCAT